AAAAAATACATGGGGACAACACTGTGGCTCAAAGGAGTAGGGCACCGGCCCCGTATGCTGGAGGTGGTGGGTTCAAACCCAGCCTTGGCCAAAAACTGCAAAAAAAAAAAAAAAACATGGTAATTCAAGAGCATTAACACATCTGGTGCTCTTCCTACAGAGCCAGGTTGGGTTGTTTTTTTTTAGCATTTCTTATGTTGTACTTCTGCAGGCAAAAAAATTCTCTACCTTTTGTTATTCTGAAAAGTTTCTTCATTTCACTTTCTTTTTTAAAGAGTTCTGGCTGTAGAATTAAGGATAATAGCTTTGTTTTTCTTTATGCACTATAAAGACATCATCTGTGATTTCTGAGAATAATTCATGGTATCTTATCATTCCCAAACATAGAACGTATCTCACTTCATTGATACTTTCAAGACTTTATTTTATCCAGGGTATTCAGGATCTTTTTCTAATGCTCAGTGGGTTTCTCTAATCTTTTGGTCTATAAACTGTTGTTTGCATTACCATTGGGAGATGTTCAGCCATTTTTTTCCTTAACCGCTTTCACTTTCTTCTTCTCCTGGGGCTTCTATAAGTTAATTTGACAACATCCCCTAAGTCCCACTTTTGTTCAGGCTTTTTTCTTTCTTGTCTTTAGATTAGATAATATCTACTGATCTGTCTTCTAGTTCACTGATGCTTTTTACTTTACTTATTTATTTAATTATCTTTAAAGACAGAGTCTCACTCTGTCTCCCTGGGTAGAGTGCTGTGGTGTCATCTTAGCTCATAGCAACCTCACACTCCTGGGCTCAAGTGATCCTCCTGCCTCAGCCTCCCGAATAGCTGGGACTATAGGAGCCTACCACAGTGCTCAGCTAGTTTTTGTATTTTTAGTGAAGATAGGGTCTTGCTCTTGCTCAGACTGATCTGGAGCTCCTGAGCTTAGGCAATCCACCCGCCTCGGCCTCCAAGGGTGCTAGGATTACAGGTGTGAGCACGCTGTGCACAGCTTTCACTGAGTTTTTTAAAAAGTAATTTCCAATCTTTTGTTAAGCCTGTCTTATAAATAATTTATTTTAGTTATTTTTTTTTAGTTCTATATTTTCTATCATGTTTCTTTTTTATAATTTCCATTTCTCTGCTAATAGCTCCTATCTGCTTACTCATCAAGACAACTTTTTTGTCATTATTTGGATAAATTTTCTTTTCATTTCTTGAATATGTTTAAACGACTCCCTTAATGTCTTCATCTGATGTGTTCAGAATCCGTGCCTCTGGGGAGTCAGCTTCTATTAACTACTTTTCCCCTTGACTGTGGGTCTTGTCTTCCTGCTTGCTTGCGTGTCTAGTAATTTATTATCTCTGTGAAAATGATGTGGGATGGAGACTCTGGATTCTGTTACTTTTCTCTGGAGAAACTTGCTTTTATTCCAGTTCACAGTTCAGTCACTGGCTGTTCACCTTGCACATGTGCAGGCTTAGCTTTGGGCTTTGTTGGAGTAGGTTTGTGGAAAGGTTGTACCTGGCTTGCTTAGTGCTATAGAACTCAACTTCTATACTCTGCCCACCTTCAGGGCTTGGTTCCTAGCTTTGCTGCAGGAGTTCTAGGCAAGCTTTACTCTAAGGTAGGATCCTTAGTCCTGAAGTAGGGCTGTTCTGGAGACTCAGCTGGTCTTAAGTTGTTAGTCTTTGTGCTTGCACCAGCTGGAGGCCAGCCTATCAGCCTGTCAGCCCTGTTCATCAACCCTGCAGCCCCACGCAATCTGCCCTGAACATACAAAGCCCAGTCCCAGCACCAGGACATGCGAGGAACCATGCACAGTTACCCTCATCCCTCATCTTCCCCTCAGATTTCTCTGTCTCACCCCCACAGATTTCAGCCCTCTGGCCAACCCATGTTTTACCTCTGCCACCTCAGTTTACTGTGACCACTGTGTTCTGCCTGGACTTCAGGGCCAGGGCATGTCCCCAGGCAGAAAGCCCAGGGGGCACTGGGGAGCAGACCTCATGAGCTGCCCTCTCTGCCTGCCGGTGCCTGTGAATGGCTGCCTGGGTGCTTGTCTTTGGTGTGGTTGTGCAGCAGTAGGACACGTCTGGTCCCAGGCTCTATTTTTGCCACTTCTTGCTGTTCTTCCTTTGTGAATGACAATTGTGTTTATTTTCTGAAAAGATCTTTATAGGTATTCATAGGGAATTGCTAGCATTGCTTTATCATTGTTAAGTGTCACGTTCAGCATTATTTAGAGGGGCCTGTTCCTCCTGTTCATGTTCTCCTGCTGTGTCTTCGCCCGTGGTTCCTGTGCAGTCTGTCACATGCATAGCACAAATTTGGATTTAACTCAGGAATCCCATCATAAAACTGTTGAGTATGTATATTTTTATTGCTTTATGCAAACACACAAGGGTAAGTGCTAGGAGCCTACTGTCAGGTAGGAGAGGAGAGGGAGCAATGTTTTTGTTGTTACTTATGGTGGGCTGTAGATCTCTCCTCCATTGTGTGGTTGACTTGTCTATTTTGCCACAAATGAAAACGGACAGGCAAATCGGTGCACTTAGCTTTCATCCTGTCCCTCCCAGGCCCCTCCCGTGTTTCTGTTAGTTACATAGCCAGTTCTTTAGCCATAATCCCCATATTGTTTTAGACCTAATCCTGCAGGTAAGTGGATTCAGTGCTCTCTGCCAGACCACGTGCTGTGGTTTTCCAGTTATCTTGTAAGACTGGAGTTAATCTTCCAGTCCTTGAAGAAGACTTCATGGGAGCAATATTCTTTGAGTTTTTACATGTTCAGAAGTGTTTGCCTGTTGTCTTTATACTCAAGCGACAGTTTGGCTGGATATAAAATACTTGGACTGTGCTTCCCTCCTCAGCCGTGTAGGCGTTGCTCCACCATGCGATGGCACCCGTGTGGCCACGTAGCCTGGCCCTCACCGTCCACATGATGTTTTTGCCTGGCTACTGAAGAGCATTTTTAGATATTCAGTCTAATTATTTTACTAGAGCATATCTTAATGTTAACCATGGTGCCATCTTTTGGGGGGCTTTAATTTCTAGAAGTTAAAATTCCTGTTCTCGACCAGTGACTGTGGGAGCCCCTGCCTTCAGTTTTAACTCTTTATTTCCTTTCATTTTACTCATTTTTGTCGCTTCTGTCCTCTGTACCCCCTACTCTCTTGTTAAGAGTCATGTGCAATGTCTGATCCCTCTTTTCTCTGAGTTTTTTCTTCCATTTCTTTCCCTGGTTCTGCCCAGTTGGGTTTCTGCCTCTGCATTTGCTGCTTTGGGTTCTTGATTTCCAGAACAACATGCAGAGGTAACTTAATTCATAAAGTTTTCTTTCGTTTTGTTAATTTATAGCAAAACTGCTTCGTGATGGTTCCCACTGGCTTCTGGTGGTTGCCATCTGTCTCTTCTGTCTCTGTCCTCCTCTTTCCTCTGCAGAGAAGCATGATTCCCACTGGAGAGTGGCATGGCCCTTCTGGGAGGCACTTAGAGAAGAGGGTGCCAACAGAGCGCTTGGGAGGGTGGGGGTGCTGGTTTGGAAGGAAGCAGCCATTGCTGGTCATCACCATGATGGCAAAGTGCCTCTGTTATTCAGTGTGCAGGCACAGCAGTGTCACATACTTTGCAGTGCCTAGGACAGTCCCGCAGAACCAAGATCTGCTGCAGCATGGATGTGTATGAGTCCCGTGGGGGCACTTGGCCACAGAAAGTGGCCAGCTTCCCTGCAGCACAATAGGCTGTATAATTTCTGCCCCTTCTCAGAACCAGGTCAGGCCCGATGGCCTCATCTATGCTGAGGGTGCACAGTGCTCCTGCCACCACAGTGTTATCTCAGCCGCCCATACCTCCCAGGTCCCACTCCTGGTGCCTCTTCAACCTCTGTTGACTTTTTTTTTTTTTTTTTTGAGACGGAGCCTCAAGCTGTCCCCCTGGGTAGAGTGCTATGGCATCACAGCTCACAGCAACCTCCAACTCCTGGGCTCAAGCGAGTCTCCTTCCTCAGCCTCCCAAGTAGCTGGGACTACAGGTGCCCGCCACAACGCCTGGCCATTTTTTGGTTGCAGCCGTCATTGTTGTTTGGCGGGCCCGGGCTAGGGTTCGAACCTGCCACCTTAGGTGTATGTGGCTGGCGCCTTAGCTGCTTGAGCCACAGGCGCTGAGCCGACCTCTGTTGACTTTGAAGATTTCTCTCTCTCTCTTTTTTTTGAGACAGAGTCTCACTATGTCACCCTAGGTAGAGTGCTGTGGTGTTATAGCTCACAGCAACTTCAAACTCTTGGGCTCAAGCAATTCTCTTGCCTCAGCCTCCCTAGTAGCTGGTACTACAGGCACCTGCCACAACACCTGGCTATTTTTTTGTTGTAGTTGTCCTTGTTTGGCAGGCCTGGGCAAAGTTCGAACCCACCAGCTCCAGTGGAGCTGGTGCCTTAGCCGCTTAGCTACAAAATTTTCTTTTTAAGAGATGGGGTCAGCATGCAATTTCAAGATTATTTGTCTAGATACTATACTTCTATTATTTGAGATCTGACCATACTGAGACTCGAATGTCAAGGTAGGGGATGCAATATGGAAGAAAAAATAAAAGAGATGTGATCGGACTGTGTTGCACAGGCTGGTCTCAGACTCCTGGGCTACATGATCCTCCTGCTCAGCCTCCCACGTACTGGGGACTACAGGTGTGAACCACAATGTGTGGCTGAAGTCTGCATTTCTCATACTCCTCAGTGGCTAGGAGAGGAAGGAGATGGGGGAGGGAGTTGGTCAGAATAGCTTGGCAGGGCTGCAGACCACTCTGAGGGATGAGTATGGCCTAAGGAACCATCCTGGAGCAGAGGGAGTCCTGAGGAGGAGAGACAAGAGGGGGAGAATCGCTGTCAGCCAGGTAGGAGTCAGCAGCTCTCATTCAAGCCCCAGGGAGGGCACCTCTCTCCTGGTCCCGGCTAGGGGCAGGGGCCACGTGGGTGGGGCTGCTGGGACAGGCCTGATGCTCTCTCTGCTGCCCCCACTGTCACAGGTTCATGGAACTCACAGACTCACCAACCCTGGTGTCGCTGAGGTCACGATTCGTCCAGACTACAAGATCCTGGCCACTGCAGGCTGGGACCACCGCATCCGCGTGTTCCACTGGCGGACCATGAAGCCGCTGGCTGTGCTGGCCTTCCACAGTGCTACCGTCCAGTGTGTGGCCTTTGCCCCCAATGGCTTGCTGGCTGCAGGGTCCAAGGATCAGCGCATCAGTGTCTGGTCACTGTACCCACCCAGGTGACTGCTGCCTCTTTAGGAGACACGGAGTGCAAGGAGGCAGGCCAGTGCCCCAGAAGTTGCCCTCCAGGGCTCCTGAAGACCAGCTCCTCAGCTCGCTCGCTGTGGTTAGAAGCTGCCTTCTCCTTCTGTGGAATGTATCAGCACGTGGCAGTGACTTGCAACCAGCTGTATACCTGGGCATCTGCGGCCGGGACAGGAGGTGGTCAGCTGGGGCCTGTCCGTGCTCCCAACCTGAGAGTATTTTATAATAAATTTTCTATTATAGAGCTGCAGGCTTGAGGTGGGAGCTGCCTAGAGTCCCCTACTCTGATCAGAGCCCTCAGGCCCTCCACTGGACAGGGAGTCAGCCCCACTCACCGCTGCTGTCAAGTAGTCATCGTGAGCGTGGCCCCAGGGCCAGGCTGCAGGGAGCCACAGAATGCACGCACAGCTGCCTGCGACGTCCACGGCCCTTACCCCAGAGGAGGCGCAGGCTCCTGTCAGGGTGAGGCCAGAGTCACAGAAAGGAAGTGACAGATTCCCTTTAGGAGCGAGGTGGGAAGGGGATAAGAGTAGGGATGATAGCGAGGGGCTCTTGGTGTGCAGGGTTAGGCCAACATAGCCCAGGAAGGACATGCCCTCCCCAGCAGCAGCACAATGGAGGCTGGCCAGGGATGTCTGCAGAGATTTCTGGGCAGTGAGTGAGACAGGTGTGGGCTCTTCACAGTGACCACAGCCATAGTCACAGCTGTGTCCTGCACACAGGGCAGCTCACATCAAGGCAACACGGTGGGAAGCAGGACTTAGACGCCAGAGTGCCCAGAGCACCTAGAGTGCATGGCCAAGCCCAGCCTGCCAGGCATTTTCTCCTGTAGTCGGGGATGGAGTGGAAAGATGGAGTGGAAAGGAAGGGCACCCTGAAAACAGGGAGGAGGCCTATGGCAGGTCCTGAAGGAGCCAGGAACTGCGGTCCTGTACCCGCTATTGTTGCCAGAAAGCCCCATCTACTCCCCTTCACCTGAAGACTGGGGGGCCTCTGCTGGGTGGTTGCCCTGTCAGGCCCTGCTGACACCCTCAAGGACCCCCGTCCTGCTCTTCTCATCCTGGACGCAGACTGGAGCCCGCAGGCCCTGTGGGGGCAAGTGTGACCCTCAGCAGGTGCCCAGTTTTCTAGGTGGCAGTTTGGAGAGCATGTGTGGGGCAGACCGAAGGGTGTGGGGTCCAGGTAGCTGCAGCATGGAGTGGTCAGGTCAGTTCATGGAACAGCCCCCAGGGAAAGTTGGGCTGGGGAAGGAGAGGCCTTGGCTGGCCAGTGGGCAGGGTATAGGCCAGAGGGTGGCTGCCCCGAGGGAGGTGGGCATGCCTGGCCAGCCTCGCCACACAGCAGGGGAAGGGCTCCTGGTCCTGGGCAGTGGGATGGTAGAGGGTTTGTCACATGGACTCCACTGTCCTGAGCGGGAGGGGCCAAAGGAAACAGCATCACCCCCACTGGGGAGAAGAGATTCATTGCAGGAGCCAGCATCCTCCAAGGGCCTGGGCCTGCTCTGCTCTGTAGGCCAGAAATGTTAATGGGGCAGCCCAGCAACAGCGAGACCCTACCTCTGTGAAAAAATAAAAATTTAGCCAGGTGTTATGGTGGGTGCCTGTAGTCTCAGCTACTAGGGAGGCTGAGGCAGGAGGGTTATGATGATACCACTATACTCCATCCCAAACAACAGAGTGAAACCTTGTCTCAAAAAAGAAAAGAAAAGACAAAAGCGAAAGAAATAACAGTGGAGACAGCTGCCATCAGACTGGGGTGTTGGTGCTGGCCAGGCATGCAGCCCAGTGCCCAAGCTCAGGAGCCACTGGCTTGGGCACTGGCCTAGCCTCACTGGATGGGGTGGCTGCCAGTGTCTAGGGAGGAACAGGGTGATTCTCACTGAGGGTCCTCCATCTGTCTAGCAGCATGTTGGGAACACACCTGAAGGGATTAGCACACCACCTAAGCATTGGGGAGAAGGAGGGACCTTGGTTTTGGCTGTAGTGACATGACCCCCATCAGGCGCTGAGGGCACTTGTCACAGCCCAACTCAGCTGACCATGGGAGGTGGTTGGGCTCCCAAATCCCAGAAACAGCGGGGCTGGGAGGTGGGGGCCTTGCCCTGGACCTGTCCCTCAGCTCTACTCTGGGGCACTGGGCCCTGCAGTCCCCAGACTCACCCAAGGCCTGTGTGTCTGGAAAGTTCTGGAAGGAACTCTGCCCCTTCCCTATCCAGTTTATGTCCCTGTCACCACTGTGTTTCCAGAGACAGAGAGGTGTGCGTTCCATGCGCAGGGCCAAGGCTCAAGCCCATGTGGAGTTGGCTGTGCTCAGAAACCCACACTCCCAGTGTCCCGGGCGAGCTGGGTTCGTCTGCCTGCATCTTACTCAGGGGTGGTGAAGAAGTGTTGCTGGCAGGGACAAAAGGACCTGGAGTCAAAGGCCTAAGCAGGGTAGATCACAGGCTGCTGACCGGAGCCTGGTCACAGCCACCCCTGAGACCATATGGTATGGAGCAGTGTCCCAGGCACATCTTGTTCCCACATCTTGGTGTGTAGGGTGGAGTCAGGTGGTGACAGCTGTGAGGCCCTCACCCCCCCCCCATGCATGACAGGGCCACATGCCCAGGTCTTGGTGGGTAGAGCAGATTCCAGTTCCCAAGGCGTTATAGATGTCACATGTCATGTGGAAAGCTAGTGGCCCAGGCCTTTAGTTCACTCAGCTGAGCTGCCTGGGATAGCAGTGGACTCCACGCCAGCCCGGAGCTATGTGTCCCCACCCCCATTCCTCTCCTGAGTTCCTCCCTGGCACCTGGGAGGGCCATGGGACTTAGCCAGGCCCTGAGAAGTTACAAGTTGTGTGGAGGTCTGACCAGTCTTGAGCACCCCACAACATAAGAAGAAAGAGATCCCAGCTCCACATGTCCAGGTTGGAAAAGATGCTTAAGTGTGTTCCCAAAGACTTGTCCTGGTCATGTCCCTGGTGCTGAGTCCTTCTTTAGAGCCTGACCTGGCCGAGGGTCAGCAGTCAGCAGCCATGTTCTGCTGGAAAGATGCTGCCCAGCTGCCTTGGATCCCTGGCTGGGCAATGCAGGAGCTGTCCTGTGGCCTGACGTCTGGTGAGGTAGGTGCTCACCAAGCAGAGCCCTCAAGCCACTTCCAAACTGGCCCTCCACAGCCAGTGATGCTCGAGGGTCCCGTGGATGCTAACTTAGGACAGACCCTTTCCAAGGGAGTGGCTTTTTTTCCTTTACCCAAATCATCATTGCAGCTTTTTTGTAATAACCAAAAATGAGAAACAATTCAAATGTCTGTCAACAGATGCTAAAAAGCAAACTTTGTACATCTACATAGTGGAGTCCTCCCCACAGTGAGAGGGACCTCTAGGGACATAGGAACAGGCCTGGATGGACTACAGGTCACAGGGGCAGCTCTGCAGAGGCCCCTGTGGGTCAAGAGCACAGCAGCACCCATGGGGCCTTGTCCTCCCAGGTGTGGCCCCACAGTGGTCTGAGTATCCCTGTGCTGCTCTGGTGAGGATAATATGCTTATTTTGAGAGCCCCCAGCTAAATGGGGCTTCTAGTAACAGGGCAGCTGGCAGCCCTGCCCTCAGGGAAAGGAAGGGAGCTGGGTGAGGCGTTCACTGGTCCGCTTCCATGGGGTGCTTCTTGTACCTGGCAGATGGCTTGACACCTGGCCCCTCACACGGGACCCTTGTTCATACTGGCACCGCCCTCTGGCTCTTGTCTGACCCAGGTCCAGTCATACTGGGAGCCTGACCTTGAGTTCTCTTGGTGTTCAGGGAAAAGTTGGCTTTGGGCACCCCCTGGTTCTGATGCAAGGTGCAAATTAAAAAATTCAACATAATAGGACACAAATTCAAAGATCTTTACCTCCAGATTCTGGGCAGGGAGGGTGGTCCTCTGTTCCTAGGTCACGTGAGGCAAAAACAAAAGGTCGGGTGGAAAGAGAGCACGTGGCAGCTGGCAGGCTAATTAGGGAACAGGGTGTGGGCACTTCAAGTTCATGGGTGAATACCTAGACTGTCCTATTAAAGGGAGTGGGGGCCCATGTGCTAGACAGGACGGGGGCCCATGTGCTAGACAGGACAGCTGCCTCAGTCCTTAGCCCTGCTCTTCACTACCCTCTCCCTGTCCTGGTCACACACCCAAAGGCTAGGAGGTGTTGTCTGCACGTCCCCTGTGGGGCCCTGGGGGTCATCGTGGCCACATGCCTATGCCTGCCCACGGGTCTGCTCTGCACACCGGGCCACAAGTCATCTGTGGGATCAGGGCGGGTTTGCGAATTTAGCCATAATTTTTCTCCTCAGCGTCAAGATGCCTTTTCTGCCCACATAGCTGTTAACTGAGCAATCTTTTGCAGGACTTAGGTGCTGTTTCAGGAGTTTTAAGACTGTTGTCCACAACAGCTAAACCAGGACTATTCCCTGGTCTTCTGAGTTACCTCCTGTAAGCTGCCAGGCAAGCCACCGTAGCTGAGCAGAGGTGCCACCCAGAGGCAGGCCCTGAGTGTATGTGGCTGTGGTACTGAGCTCTCAGCTCCTGGGGCTGCCCAGGGCCCCCATCGGCACTCCCTGCACAGCCCAAGTGTGGCTTTGAGGTGTTCTATGCAGTCACATTTGAGTGTGATCTGGACATGGCTGCCTGAGCATGTGTGTTGTGCAGGGAAGTCCAGCATCTCCAGGTGTTGCCTGCAATTCAGGGGTGGGAGCCCTTTTGACCACTAAGAGCAGTGGCAGGTCCCACTCATGGGCAGGCAGTTCTGGACAGGGACACAGAGGCCTGGCTGTCCTGGTGTGTTCCCCTGGTGAGATCTTGCTGCTAGAGCTGAGGGCCTACCCCCAATAGGGAGTGTCACCATGTACTGAAGGCCTGTCCAGTCGCATGGCCACCAGCAGATGGGCAGGAGCATCACGGACCAGGAGGAGGGCCCTCAGACAAGCAGCCCTGCCAGCGCCTCTCTCTTCGCTCCCGAGGAGGCCAGCAGGCAGTCAGAACCCTGGGCATGCAGGCAAGTGAGGCTCCATACCTGACTGTGATGGCCCCTGGGGGCAGGTGTCAGTCAGTGCCCTGAGATGCTCTGAGGAAGGACACCGGAGCACAGCGGCTGGATCTGCCCCTGAGGCCCATCCTGCTCCGTGCCGACTTGCGGAGCGTGCCTCTGCTCTGCAGGGAGAGGTGTGCAGTGAGGTGCTTCCCACCTGTATCTC